GTGACCCGCGGGGCACCGCGCGCGAAGCACCATACCTTCCACGGAACTGTGGACCTGCAGACCAAATCTATGATTCTACGGGGAAAGGAGGCTTCCTAGGACGGAGAGGGGAAGGAGAAGGGAGGAGGCACGAAACCGACGAGAACGCTACATGTATTTGCTCACCTGAACGGCGCGCCGCTTCCGACACTGGGGGCTCAAAAGGAACATCTTTCGGTCTGCGTAACTAAACAGCATCTGAGCTCGTTGCGGGCGGTTGTGTCGCGGCTAGCCTGGTCCCCTTTTACCCATCGCAGATTTGAATGTGTTGCGTGGCAAGAAGACAGCGGACACTTTTCCCCGATGGCTGCCTGGCTGCTTTGCGCCTGGCCAAGAATTCGGGGTGGTGGTGGTGGCGTGTTTGTGGATGGATATTTCGGTTCCCCCGCGAGCTGATCCCTCCTCCCCTCCGCTGTGAGCAGTGCTTTGCGTCTTGGGTCCAGCGGCCTGCCGACGGCATGCGCCCGGGCAAATTGTTCATCGACGGATCGGATTCGCATCGGTCCGAGCCGATTCTGCCAGCTGCGTCAGACGAGTTGGTTCCTCGGTCGGCGCGGTCGACTCGGGAGCGGTGATCGCCGCGGTTTTCGGCCCTGTTCCTTGGGATTTTGCGCTTCTCCAAAACGCCGAGGATGGCGACTGCGGGCTTGTCATGTTCAGCCGGCTTCCGTTTGGTGTTGGAGGGGTTTGGACCGATTGCGCCAGGGCGACGGCTTCTCGGAGCCCTCAAGCCCACCTTTGGTCCCCTGCGCACTCTGTCTTCGAAGAGGGCCTGGTCGCGCCCCCGCCCAGGCCCTCTTCGAAGGGGGGGAGACTACTCGGTGGGAAAGGAAAGCGAGAGGCGCTGACCTCCACCCGTCCACATCTCAGGCTGCCGACCGATTCGAGAGGCTTCCAGATGTTGGGTCGGGAAGTTGGCCCGTGGAATGCGGGGCGGGCCTGGAGGGATTCTGAGGGCCTCCCAGATGCTTCTGGAGCTGTTGCTGAATCGGGGCGCCCTGGGGCCCCTTCCCCCGCCGCCCAAGCTTTCCTTCGATGCCGCGCAGTGCTCTCGGGGGTTGCCCAGGGCCCCCCCAGGGTCCCGAGCTTGGGCTCCTTTGCAAGCTTACGGGTCACTGTCTGCGTGTTTGCAAGGTCTTCGACGCTGCTGGCGCAGCTGTGTTCGCGGGCCCTCGTCTTATGCGTTGCATTGCGTGCGGGACCTTCGCCTGGGGGGCCGTCAGAGGCCTGGCCCAGCCGTGTAGCCCGCCGACGGCGGGATCGGGCCTTCGCCAGCGTAAGCGGCGAATTCAGCTGAGGCGATTCCCCAGGTGGCCCAGCAAGTATGAGGGTTGGAGCTTAGGAGCCCTTCGCCCTCAGATCTGACGTCGTTGGTGGCGTCGGTCCTCGCCTGTCCCCGACCTCCCGCCCCCTCCTCAGGGCTGTGTTTCGGCCAGGGCCGCTCTGGGCGCTCCCGTGGACGCCAGGGCGCTTGCTAGCGCGCTTCGGGCTGGACCCGCAGGCGCTCCAGCACCAGGCCCTGCAGGCCAGCGCCCTCCCCGAGAGGGATGAGGCGGGGCCCGTCGGCGTGGGGGGAGTTTTGTCGGTCTTGGATGAGGACCCTTACGTTATGTTTTGAATCCTCGCGCTATCGTCATCTCATTCCTTCTCCTCCGGACTCTCCTCTCCCTCCCATCCCTGTCCCACCCCCACTTATTGCGTTCATCATTGCCCTCGTCCCCCTTCCGCGTCCTCCCACTTCTCTCCTCTCTCTCTCTCTCTCTCTCCCTCTCTATCGTAGCGCCAGTCGGCGATCCCAAGCCGCAACGCCCCGCCGCGCCTGCCAGGTCGCCCGCGCAAACTCTGCTATTGTCGCGGACCAACGCGCGCTGACTTTGGTTTGGGGGGAGAAAGGATAACCCTACACTGAGTCCTGGCCGGAAGGGAGGGACGACAGAGATTCGCACTGACCTTGCCTTAGCAGCCAATGCTCAAGCAGTGCTTGACGAGAGGAGGAAAGGGGCACTGTATGGGGTCCTTGGTGGCCGCCAGGTTGGCCTTGGCCTGCCTTACTACGGACCTCGCTCAGGGGATTTGTAGCGGTACCGGTGACGCAGTGCCTTGTTTGTGGCGTTGCACATTTCGTAATTTGTTTGTAATGTTGTCACCGGAGTGTTTGTTCCTGGTCTCAACAGCGTGTAGATGGTATAGACGTGGCATCTTGGATGTAGCGACGTACACGTGATACATTTGCTCGTAGAGTTTCAGAGCGAATGCTACCGGCATAAAACAGAAGAGGTGGTATGCTGGAGCACCATAACCAGCGGGCTCTGTTAGGCCAGTATCATCTTAACACTTGCGCCATCCGATCGTAGACTACATCGAACAGAACTTCGTCCTGGAGCATCTCAAATAAAACATTGCCACCCTGGCTGGCCTTCAGAGGCTGCGAGGTCGTACAAGAGCTCGATCAAGTAGTATGTTTCAGACTTCAGGTCTTGCTATCTATAGGCTCGGGCCGTCTCTTGGGACATGATGGCGAGCCGCTTCTTCGGATGTTTGTCGGTGGGTTCGACGTTGTTACTCGTGACGCTGATAGCCACCGATCCCGATCGGAATGCCCAGCGGTCCGTAGTGGTTTCCCACGTGCACAGATTACCCTTGAGGCCATCGTGGCGCCTCTGGCCTTGAAGCCCGATGACTTGGGCTGGCACCCCTTGTCGTATTCCTGCGTGCTCGGGTACGTCGGTTTGTTCTTGTGGCCTGGCTAGTTTTGCTGTTGGTTCTCGTAGCTCAGGTGGTTGCCCCTATCGCTCCTCTGGTGGTTCTTGCAGCTCCACGGGTGGCTCTCGTAGCTCAGCTCGGGGCCATCGTAGCTCTGCTCGCGCCCCTCGTAGCTCAGCTGGCTGCCCTGGAGGCTCGGCAGGTGGCCCCCGTATCTGGGTCGTGGGCGCCCGGAGTTCTTCCCGTGGCCTTTGTTGTTCAGCTCGTCGCCCCCTGGTATCCCTGCAGCAGGCTCCCGTTGCTGTGCGTGTGGCCCGTGGAGCACAGCTTGCTCTCGTAGATCCACTGGTGGCTGTCGTAGCTCGGCCGGTGGTCCTCTGAAGCCCTGCTTGTGGCCCTGACAGCTCAGCGCGGGGCCCCGGAAGCTCAGCAGGTGGTCCTCGTAGCTCTGCTGGTGGCCGTCTATGCTCAGCAGGTGGTCCTTGCAGTTCAGCGCGTCGCCCTTGTATCTCTGCGGGCTCTTGTAGTTCTGCTTGTGGCCCGCGTAGCTCCCTCCGTGTGTGGCCCTTGTAGCTTCGCAGGCGGTCCTTTGTAGCTGAACTGCTGACTCGAGACTCTGGCTTGTAGCCTTTGCAGTCGAGCTCGTCGTCAAGGTATCTCTGCGGGAGGCTCCGCTAGTTCTGCTTGTGGCCCGTGTAACTCAGATTGCGGCCCTCTTAGCCTAGCTGGTAGTCCGCGCAGCTGGGCTGGTGGCTCTCGAAGGTCATCTCGCGGCCCTTGTAGAACAGCTCGTCGTCCGGGAAGCTCTGCTGGTGGTTGTAGTAGCTATTCCTGTGGTCCTTGTGGCTCAGCTTGTGGTCCTAGAAGGTCAGCTGGTGGCCCTGTTAGCTCATCCTGTGGCCCTCGTAGTTCAGCTGGTGGCAATGGTAGCTCCAGTGGTGGCTCTTGTAGCTCAGCATGTGGTCCTCGTAGCCCTGCTCGTGTCCCTTGTAGTTCAACTTGTGGTCCTCGTAGCTCAGGTGGACCTCGTAGGCCTTGTGGTGGCTCGTGCAGCTCAGCAGGTGGCCCTGCTACCTCAGCTGATGGCCCTCGTTGGCTGTAGATGTAGGGCCACCCTGAAGTGGGGCAGCCCCCCGATGCCATATCTAGTGTTGAAGATCTCCGCCTTGTAATTCAACATCTGATGGTTGACGTTGTAGTCGTGGTTAATCACCTTCTCCCGGATGTACACCCGCTGGTGGATGATGTTGTAGTCGCGGTTGACCACCTTCTCGTTGTACGCGCGCCGCCCGCCTCCGATGGCGCGACGGCGCGCTGAAACCGGCCCCCCCGAGGGCGGCCGCGCGGGCTGTGCGCTGCCCCGGGTTCGGGTGTGAGGGACAGAGTTCCCGCAAACGGCCTCTCTCCCACTTCTCCTCTTCGTCCTCTCCCGCCTCCTCCCACAGACTTTTCGAAAGGAGGTCGACCGAATCTGCAGCGGATCGAGGAGGGCCCCTACCCTCGTTGCGCAGGTGTCTCGACTGCTCTTCGGGCCATGCTCGGGACTTTCTCGAGTCAGTGGTGTCGGCGGCCTCCGGCGGAGCCGAGGCCGCAGCCTTAGGCGTGGTTGGTCGGAGAGGGCCTTATCCTTCTCACTTCCCCCTCTCGCTCGCCGCCGACTGAAGCTGGTCCTGTTCCCCCTTGGAGGGGAGGCCGTGTGACTGGCTGCGTGAGGTTGCGGTGCTGGCTTGGCTCGGGTCCCGCCGTTGTGTAAGTGCTCCCCTCCCTCACCCCCCTCCCCTCCCCCTCCCCTCCTCTCCTCTCTCCCCTCTCCCTCCCTCACGGCCCTGTTCGGCGGCGGGCGAGAAGGGGAAGTGAGAAGGGGCGGGCCTTCTCAGAAGGCTCGGAAGTCCCCCGGCCTTCTGAGAACTTTTCTGAATCCTCCCGGAAGACACATGAAGCTTCTCAGAATGCGCGAGGGTTTCTGAGAAGTCCCGCCGCCTTCTAAGAAGACCTTCTCCTTCTCAGTTCCCCCCTCGCTCGCCGCCGACCTGTGCTTGACCAGAAGATTCATGAGAGTCCTCCTCCTCCTCCTCCTCCTCCTCTCCTCCTCCTCCTCCCCCTCCTCCCTCTTCTACTCCCTCCCCCCCCTCCCACCTCCTCCTCCTTTCGTCCTGCTCCTCCCCCCTCCTCCCTTCCCCCCTCCTCCCCATCCACCTCCCTCTCCTTCCCCATCCTCCACCCATCCTCCCCCGATTCCCCCCACCCTTGCGCGCCAGCTGCTTCCCTGGCTCCGCGTTCCGCGGCGGCGCTCGGAGCTGCACGCGGCGCCTCCCGTCCGTCCGCCGCCGGTCGTCGTGGGAAAAGGGAAGCAGCGAGGAGGGGGGGCGGAAAGGAGGGAGGACAAGCTAGGTGCGCTCGCATCTGACGTCCCACCCCTCCCTCCCATCCCTTATCTTTGTGTAGAGCCCCTCTCTGTTCGCAGAGTCTGACGTCGAAGAGGACAACGATCCCGAAGGGTATGCGATGCGTAGCATGGCATGGCATTTCGTAGCCAAGCATTGCATATCACAGCATTACAACGCAAGGCATGGCATCGCATAGCGGTACATGCTTAGCATGGTGTTCCATTACGTGTCATGGCAGTTGTGGTTATTGTTGATGTTGTTGTTGTTGTTGGTGGTGGTGTTGTTGGTGTTGGTGTTGTTGTTGTTGTTGTTGTTGGTGTTGGTGTTGTTGTTGTTGTTGTTGTTGTTGTTGGTGGTGGTGGTGGTGGTGGTGGTGGTGGTGTTGTTGGTGTTGGTCTTGGTCTTGTTGCTGTTGTTGCTGTTGTTGTTGTTGTTGTTGATGTTGTTGTCGTCTTGGTCGTTTTCGTAGTCGTTGTCGTTGTTGTTGTTGCTGCTGCGTTAGTTGGTGTTGTTGTTGTTGGTGGTGGTGGTGTTGTAGTTGTTGCTGTAGGTGCTGCTGCTGTTGTTGTTGTTGCTGCTGTTGTTCTTCATAATCGTGATCCCGCTGCATCGCTGGCCTCATTTCCGCGTTCCTGGTCCTTCCGAATGGTGCCCCAGCTGCAACTGTGGCCTCATTGTCGCGTTGTCCGTCCTTCCGAAGGATGCTCCGGCTGCAGCATTAACCTCATCTCCAAAGTATCGGTCCGTCAGATGGTATGCCAACATGGTATGCAATTCAATATCATGCCATGGGCAACGATTATGCTATGACAGGCCTTGCTCGGCAAAATTGCAGCTCTCGTGCGCTGGGCTCCCACGCCCTGGCAGAGATGCGCGGGACGACCGGCGACGAGCCGGTCGTGCAGCAGCAGCAGCACAAGCAAAGCTAGCAGTTCCACTGTGACCAGCCCGACAGGAAGCACCACCACCAGCAACAACAGCAACAACAACACCAACTGCCCGAAAACGATCGGGTTGGAATTGCCTTGCGACGTTCCCAATCCTTTCCACGCATGTGGCGACGTTACACAGGACCGATCAATACAAACGAGCATGTTGAAGGACCCGTAGGAGACTACGAAAATGACGACATTTGCGCAGTTCGCAGCCCCCAGGAAGCCGCGAGGTCTCGGCTGGGTGTGTTTACAACTCCACTGCGCTGGGCATCCCAGGAGCCAACGAAAGTGGCGACGGTTGCGCACTTCGGAGCCCCCCAGGGAGCCGCGAGGTCTCGACTGGGTGTGTTTAAAACTCCACTCCGCTGAGCCTCCCAGGAGCCCACGGAAGTGGCTACAGTTGCGCACTTCGCAGTTCCCCATGACGCCGCGAGGTCTCGGCCGGGTGTGTTTACGACTCCACTCCAGTGGGCCTCCGCGGAGCCCACGAAAGTAGCGACAGTTGCGCATTTCGCAGCCCCCCCAGGGGAGCCGCGAGGTCTCGACTGGCTGTGTTTACAACTGCACTCCATTGGGCCTCCCAGGAGCCCACGAAAGTTGCGACAGTTGCGCAGTTCGCAGCCGCCCAGGGAACCGCGAAGCATTCGTAATGTGCAATTCTTGAGGAGGGGGAGGGACAAGGGAGGAGGAGGAGGAGGAGGAGGAGGAGGAGGAGGAGGACGAGGAGGACGAGGAGGAGGGAGAGGAAGAGGAGGGGGAGGGACGACGTTCCCAACCCATTCTACACATGTGGTCTCGGCGTATTCATACAAACGAGCACGTTGCAGGACCCGCAGGATCTCGCAAAAGTGGTGACATTTTCGCAGTTCGCAGCCCCCCAGGGAGCCGCGGGGTCTCGGCTGGGTGTGTTTACAAGTCCGCTCCACTGGGCCTCCCAGGAGCCCACGAAAGTGGCCACTCTTGCGCAGTTCGAAGCCCCCCAAGGAGCCGCGAAGTTTCGGCTGGGTGTGTTTACAACTCTGCTCCGCTGGGCCTCCCAGGCGCCCACGAAAGTGGCGCAAGTGCCCACTTCGAAGCCCCCCCAGGGAGCCGCGAGGTCTAAACTGTGTTTACAATGCGCTGGGCTTTCCAGGAGTGAGCCCACGAACGTGGCGACAGTTGCGCACTTCGCAGCCCCCCCAGGGGAGCCGCGAGGCATTCATAATGTGCAAGTCTTGAGGAGGAAAAGGGACGATGGAGGAGGAGGGGGGAGGAGGGAGGCAGGAGGAAGAAGAAGAAGGACGCAGGGAGGCGGGAGGAGGAGGGAGGACGGAGGAGGAGGAGCCGGGAGGAGGGGGAAGGAGGAGAGGGGCAAGGAAGGGAGTGGGGCATCTTCACCTTGCCTCCGTCCCGCCCCCCTTCTGTTGTAGCGGACAGACGAGGGGGCGAAAGACGGCGGCCTCCCTCCTGCTCACCCTGCTGCTCGAGGAGGGAGGAGTTGGCCCAAGGAGACGGGGCCCCCTGGAGGAGAGGGGCCCTGGAAGTCCCTCGCCTCCCCGGGGCCCTCCCACGGGCCCCCTCACACGGGCGCTGGGCCCGCCAGGAGGCGACTCGGGACGAAATATTGACCCGTGGGGTCCTGGGGGACGACCCCGGGGCCGAAGGCTAGCTTCCTTCAGGACCCCTCGGTAGGAGGAGGAGGAGGAGGATGAGGAGGAGGAGGGAAGGAAGAGGAAGCGGAGGGAAGGAAGAGGAGGAGGAGGAGGAGGAGGAGCGACGACGACGACGACGACGAAGACGACCCATCAAGCGCACCTCGGCGCCGCCCCGAACGCAGGCGCTCGAGAGGACGCCGTCTGGCGAGCGCCTCCGCTGGCTTCTCGAAGTGTCGCCGCCGCCCCTTCCGCAGTGCTTGGGCCTTCTCCTCTTCTTCGCGGGCGCGCGGGGCGCAGCGGGCCCTGGAACCGACACGAGGGCAGTGTTTGCCCAGTTCCGCTTTGCAGTTTGAATGCTGATCCAGGCGTGTTTTGGTTTCTGGTTCTTGCTTCGGCTTCAATCTTGGAGCAGTATCGGTTTTGTTCCTGGGAGCCGTTTTTTTTGTATTGTCTTCATGTTTAGAGAGAGTAGCCTGAACGGCAATAACAACGGCTTTGCCGTTACCGGGGCTTACACAGGCGCGCATGGATGGCATTCGCCACCACTATCACCATCGTCGTCGTCGCCGATGTCGTCGTCACGGTTATCACCCGGCCGCCCGAGTCCTGGATCAATTTGCCTGGGCAGGGCCCGCGCGTCATTGCGCTCGTTGAATTTTGCGAGCAAATCCCGATGAGCAAGTTCAGTAACGCCGTCTTGAGCCTTGCGACGCTGCGGGTGGAGGCGCGCGGGGGGCATTCGGGCAGGTCTCGAGGACGACACGAAACATTGCGTTGGTGTGAGCTTTCGTAATGAACGGCATAAGCGTCAGCTTTCGGTGAGCCCTTCTCTCTGGGGCACGGAGCGCGCCAGGGGCGGCGCCAGAGTCGCCGCCAGTGGGGTCCAGCTCGGATCCACGAGATCCGCTCAGATCTTTGAGAGTTTGCTCCCAACCATCCTGTGGGGTTGGTTCCTCGTTTTGAAGAGGCAGCGCTCCGCTTTCCTCCTTCGCTCCTCCTCCCCCTCCCTTCACCCATGAGGTGCACCGAAGGTCCCAGTGGCGGAACTCGCATGCGGTTCCTGCGCCCAGTACAGCGCTTCGTGGCCCCAGAGGGAGCTCCACCGAAGGTCCCAGTGGCGCAGTTCGCATACGGCTCCTGCGCCCAGTGCAGCGTTTCGTGTCCCCAGAGGGAGCCCCACGGAAGACGATACCTACAATTGCGGTACTCACAATTGCATATGGTTGTTTCTTTCGCCAGGCGAATTTGTGTGGCGTGATTCTTTCTTCTGAGGCGTTTTTTCGTTCTTCTGAAGTCGTTGGGCTGATGTTGACCTTGTGGTCGTCCAGAGCGCAGGGGGTCCGAATTCATTTTAACTCCGTGCTCGTGCAGCCCGATCCGACGCACGTTCCGCTTTGATCCGATGTCCCGCTTGGGGTCATTCGTCCCTTGGCCTCGTTCCGCCGCTATGCTCCCAGGCCCGTAGGTCAGCCACCCTCGCCGCTGTCCCCTCGCGGGCAATTGGGTGCGCCGCCCTGGGAGGGTTGTCGCTTCTTGCTCCTGCTAGCATGTCCAATCCAGTCATCTGTTTCCTCGGGCGGGCCCAGGATCGCAGCAGGTCCACGTCGTCCCTCCTCCTGCCCCCTCCCCGGAAGGGGGGACACAATCATACAAGGAGGATGGAAGGAGGAGGAGGAAGAGGAGGAGGAGGAAGGAGGTGTACCTTTCTGTAAGCGTTTGGGTCCGAAGTAGGATACGGAGTAATGGCTCCAAAGCTTACTGGACCGCTCTCACGCATTCCGGAGCGCTCTGAAAAAAGACCGCGGCGCGAAAGGGCGTCATCAAATTTAGTTTCATCGCGAATAATTGGGAGCCGAGCTATTGCCTTGCCCCCTTCTCCTACCCCTGTTTCTGGACCTCGCGCTCCTCCTCCGCCTCGTCCTCTGCATCCTCATCCTTCTCTTGCTGTTCCCCCTCCTCTATTCTCCCTTCACGGGCAGTGAACCTCCTCCGTTCTCTTCCCTCTCCTGGTCTCTGTCATCCTCATACCACGATCCTTCCCCCTCCTCCTCCTCCTCTTCCTCCTCCTGACCTCCGTCTCCTCCTCCTCCTCTTTCTCCTCATCTCCTCCTTCTCCTCCTCCTCCTCCTCCTCCTCCTCCTCCTCCCCTCCTCCTCCTCCTCCTCCTCCGCCTCCTCCTCCTCCTCCTCCTCTCGCCCTCCGCATCACCACCCCCACGATCCAACAGGAGGGAGAGTCTTCAAGGCACAGTGGAAAGGGAAAGGGTGGAAAGAGTAAGGGTCGATAGAAGCAGATTCCATTGGTCCCTACAGTGGGCCCCTCTCAGGCTGCGCAGGGGCGTTGCGGCTTCCGTCGTGAGCCACGGGTCACATCAGACGGTTTGGTGACTTTAATGCCTCGCCCTCCAGAGTTCCCTTGCGTCACTCTTGATACTCAGTGGCTTGGCAGGTGACGAGCAGCAGCAGACGAACTGCCACGGGCCCAAATTCTATCCCGATCCTCCCCCTACTCCCGCTTCTCCACCTCCATCTCATCCTCCACTTCCTCCTCCTGCTCCTTCTCCCCCTCCCCCCGACCCACCTCCACGCCACCGGATCTCGCGCGCGCCCACAACTCGGCTCCAGTTTTGTTTGGCGGAGGCCCCCCCTTAAATTTTCGCGCCGGGCCGCCCAGCAGCGCCAGCGCACCTGCCGTCTGGGGGCGGTCGAACGGGGCTAAGACGAGGACAAATCTGTTACACGCGTTGCGGAGAGCTCTCAGAGAATTCTTGAACGCCCTCAGCCTCTCAGAGCGTTCCGGAACGCTTTGAGAAGGCCGCGGCACGCGAGATCCTCCAGAGCCGCCAGATCTCAGAGATTCTGGATTAATCTTCGCCCGAATTTATCCTCGTCCCAGCTTCGTCTCAGGCGGGGAAGGCGCCAATACGTCCGTCGTGCGTCGTCGCCGTCTCTGGGCGGATCCAGCTGCGCGAAAGAGTGACCCTTAGCCGGAGTGGCTTCGGTGCAGACGCTTGGAAGCCGCGAAATGGGGGGCGATAAACGGGGTGGGCTGCGAGGGCTTCCGAAAAGGACCCTTCACGGCCCCTACAGGGACCTTGAGCGAGAAGAGATCTATGTATCGCCCCCCCATTTCTTCGCGCCCAAGACGCACCGAAGCCCCCCCAGCACTGGCTGGCGCGCTCGGATTTGGGGCCCCCCGCCGCCCCTGTGGCGCCTTCTTCGCCCGATCGAGCGCCCGGCGAGGCCGTGACGTGCGAGCGTTGGGCAACCCTGAATGAGGGGCGGGACGATCAATGTCGCATCGCTATGGCGTGCGCCTTCTTTTCGGCGAGGATCATCTTGGATCATCTTGCGAACATTAACAACAACACGCACGATACCGAACAATGCACGGGGAATGGACGTCCGAGCGATGGCAGGCAAATGGGGGGGAGAAGGTGTAATTCTTGGGCCCTAGAGGCCCCCTGTGGGGCCCGAAAGGGCCCCTGTGAGAACCCTGTAAAGGTCCCCTTGTCTGCAGCCCTCACTGCCCCTCCCCATCTGTCGCCTCCCTATTGCGAAGGCCTTACGGCCGGTGCCACCGACCCTGAGGTCGGGGAGGAGGGCGTGGAGGGGGACAGTAGGAAGAGGTGGATGAGGAGGAGTAAAAGCACAGGGAGGGAATGCATAGGAGGAGAGTGACGCGAGCAGGGTCGCATGTACAGGTGGAGGGGGGGGGGGCACGAAGGAAGGGCTGGGGCGAGTATCTCGTGGCGATCATGAGGAGGAGAAGGAGGAAGATACTGGCGAGGATGTTCACGATGTTGACGACCACGCGGGTTGCCTATGAGGACCCTTCAGGGCATCTTGGAGCCCTCCTGGGGCGATTTCCAGGCTTCGTTCGCTGTTTCGAAGCTAGGTTCGGAATCCCGCGCCGCCCAGTACGGCCCTTGGTGGCTCCATATTGAGCTCCATCGGTGGCCCCACTGGCTGTGATCACATGCGTTCTGCGCCACCAAGTAAGCTTTTTCGTGGCAGGTCCACCGAAGGCCCCAGCGGCTGAGACCACATGCGTCCCGCGCCACCGGCACGGCGCTTCGTAGACCCATAGGGAGCTCCACCGAAGGCCCCAGTGACTGTGACCACATGCGTTCGACTGGCCCCATAGGGAGCTCCACCGAAGGCCCCAGTGGCTGTGACTACATGCGCCCGCGTCACCCAGCACAGCGCTTCGCGACCCCATACGCAGTTCCACCGAAGGCCCTAGATGTTGTGATCACATGAGTCATATCCCGCCCATGTCGGCACACCCCTCACGCGTTCCGTGGCCCCATACGGAACTGTACCGAAGGTCCCACTGGCGACGCTCGCAGGCGTCCCCCTTCTTATGCCGGCACCCCCCTCACGCGTTTCGTGGATCCCACAGGGAACTCCGTCTAAGGCCCCAGTAGGGGAGATGATTCAACCCCGTGTTCCAGGTTTGAACTCTGGAATCCCGACGACGCACACCATCCTGGAAGCGGGGGAGTCTGCCCTGGATGCGGTGAGTCTGTGGCTTGGAATTGGTTTGGCCACTGAGGTTCGAATACGGATGGCGAGAAGGAACGATAATCAAGATACACGTGGCGGAGGAGGAGAGGAGGTTGAATATTAAGGGGAGGAGGAGGAGAACGGGGGTAGACGGAGGAGGAGGTGGTGAAACAAAAACACCCAAGATGAAAAACCGGTCCCGGGGAACGGGGCGAGACCTTTGGGAGTCGACGTCATGAAAATCATAACGTCGGGGGTTTGACGGGGGAGATAGTCCGGGGGAGGTTGGGTGGCGGTTCCCCATCGAAAAGATGTCTTCCATTGGCTTGCACTTCGCCGAGAGCGCTCCACGGATAGACCAACATCGTTTCGAGCGGCCGCCAGAGAGCAGAAGGATGAACCGAAACACCATGGGGCAACGTTCTGGCGTGTAGCCACTTTGGCTCAAACAGTTTTGGCTCAAGTAATGCATCTGTCGAGGCGGCTGGCCAGGTCAGCGCGTGGCCCGTCCTCGCAGCCCGCCACATTTGAGGTGGGACCACTTTTCGGCATCCAGCACATCACGATTCCAGTTGGCCGTATCAGGCCATTCCGCTCCCGCCTCCGACTGTCGCCGTGGTTCGCAAGCATCGTTCCCGATATACTGAAGACCATGAGCCTCGGTCAGGTCGCCACCGCCCACGTGATTCCACTCCGTCACGCAGCCGTTCCCTCTCCGCTTCCCGCAGCCTGTCCAAGGAACGCGATGGCGCGGCACTCGAGCGCGACCAGCTCATCGGCAGTATGGAGATGCTCGGCCGGAACATTGCGAACCAGGCACACAATGTTCAAGCGATTCGGGGCGCTTGTAATTTATCGATGAGACGTCGCACTGAGCTCTCACACGTGGTGACACTGTTGGGGCGGGAGGCTCCGTCAAAACATCAAGAGCTTCAAGGATTTGCATTGTCGTCGGCTCGTGACGCGGCGCCAAAGAATCAGAAACCTCGGGATGATGTTCAAAATGGTTTGATTTCGCCCAGTGGGGCCCCCATGGATATAGAGACGATTTCTATTTTTGCAGCCCGAGTTTTGCATGTTAGAAGCCGCGCTCGCGGATCTCAACACCCGCCAAGGCACATGGGAAACAGCTCGGAGATATGGCATCGATTCCTACCCCTGGGGCTTGCTCGCCTCGCTCGTCTCCGCCCGCTGGCCCACGCGTTAGAAGGGTCAGTTGCAGGATCGCACGCGCAAGCTTGTCATTCTTGGGCTCTCGAGGAACATGTTGGCCAAGGATCCGCGCATCATCGGAGAGGCGCGCCGCTGAACCTTCGCGCTGAGTCTCGACAGTCGAAGAGTTGCTGTCCGCGTTATTGACATGGGCAAGAATATCGCCCTCCACTTCGAAGCCCCAACAGCAGTAGGTGCATCTCTGCCGAATCGTCTGGCTCGCAATCGGATATGGGAGTATCCAGGCCCGCGGAACCCTTGAGTCAGCCGATCGTTGAGGTTTCGCCGCGGTTTGCATCTCAGCCGCCGCCAATTCTTCCTGTCTCTAGGGGGAGTGCGCAACCGCGTCACCGACCTTGTCCGCGACAGAGGACTGGTGGTGGGCTCATCTGGCCGAGGTTGCAGCGCGTGCGTTTTGCGCGGCCCGCGCGACCCGGCGCAGGTCGCAGCCGTGACAGTTGACGACCAAAGCGGTTGTCAGCAGCAAGCTCGATCACGATGCCTTGCCCGGATTTGGCATCTCCAAGCGCGCAGCATCTATAACGACAGCACAGGTGCAGTTTCAGCGTTCTTTTCGGCGCGGAAGCTGGCTGCGCCGACAGAAATGCAGTTCCCCCATCCCGCCTCTCCTCGCGGGCTGAATGCGCGAGCATTGGGCTGCCACTTCCCCGGCGCCCCTCTCGCCCTTTGCACTTAGAGTTGCCGGGCTTTGATATCGGCGCGTGCCGCGAGTAGGGAGGCTACA